TAATACTCGTTGGTGCGCTGCAGTTCGATGGTTCCGGGAGCCACCGCAGGGATGAAAGCCTCTTCCGCATCGACCGTCGCCAAAGCCGCGTTGAAGTTGTCGATGTCGCTTTGCACCGCGGCATGGCCCTGGTAGGTAATGGGCGCGGTACAGACCATGCCGCGGGCCTGAGCCCCTTCTATCGGCGCGTCGTATTCCAGGTAAAAGTCTCGAAAGATCGTGCGATCTCTGCCCCAGTTCAGGAGAGGGCTTTCACCGGGTTCCAGGGGTCCTCGCATCGAAGCCGGATAACCGGTCGTTCACATAGGTTGAAAAACTGGTCTTGCTGAATTCTCCATCGCTGGGAACGTCGATGCCGATTCCTACCTGACGCTGCACCACCGTTTGCACCGATTGCCTGACCTGGCTGGCCAGAGCCTCGGCGTCGTGCGCCCGGCGTGTCTCTCGAGCCCTCATGAGTTCAAGGATCTCCGGCGGACGCGCCAGGCTGCCCACATGGGTCGTCAGAATTCGGTCGGAACTGTTTTTCATCTTCTGCTCCTTCTCCCCGGCGAACCTCGACTATCCCCGCATCACGCCTGTCCCGGTCTATGCGCCGGCCAATTCTTCAAACGACGGCTCGGGCATGCCCTCGGTCCATGTGGCGTCTCGCAACTCCAGCCGGTTGCCGCTGGGATCAAAGAAGTACAGTTCCCGCCCGGTGAACACCCCCCGGCTCGATACGTCAAATGATCTATGGCGACGTTTCTCTCGTGGAAGACCTTGCACCCAAGCTCGAAGGTCTCGGGGAGAAACGGTGAAGGAATGATGCACCCCCGCGTCCTCCTTCAACGGCCCGTCCACCGGATTGGGACGCTCGCACAGCAGGATGTTGTGGTCTCCCAACGTTGAAGCACGACATGATGTTGTTCCCTAATCGTCCCACCGGGGCCAGTCCCAGCAACTCCCCATAGCATTCTTCGGCCTCTTCCAGGTCATTGACCGGAATGGACCAGTGGGTTACGCCTTCCACGTTCAATATCGGCATGGCACCCTCCTGCAACGAATTACGCTTTTAAGGATGAGACCACTTCCGGACTCAGTGCCCGATCCAGATGCCCAGCCCTACGAGCGATACTCAACCTATGTAGGAGTTACGCAGTCGAAATTGCCTCCAAAGAAGAAAATGTCCCTATTTTCGCGGCAGCGACGAGGGCAAAGGTTCCCAACCGCGCGAGTCCCTGGTGGATTGCCGCAATTATAACAAACTCACTTTCCAGGCAATCAGCGTTGTCCCTCGGACGTTCGTTTAACCCCGGTCCAC